TGAATGTTAACATCATATCTTGGGGACAAGAAATGGAAAGGTTGTGGTTTAACAGTGATGTGTTTGTGTGTCAAGTTGACAAGGGGTCAATTGTGCTGGATAGCTTTAGTGTCAACTTGACATACCTGGGTGGAAGGAGCCTCAACTGGTGAACTGCCTCCATTGGACTGGCCTGTGGCCATGTCTGTGGGGCATCTTCTTGATTACTGAGTGGGAGGGCCCAGCCCACTGTGGGTGGTGCCAACCGTGGGCAGGTGGTCCTGTGTTGTATAGAAAGCAGTCTGAGCAAGGGTCAGAGGAGCAAGCCAGTAAGCAGTGTTCCTCCATGGCCTGTACTCCTGCCTCCAGGTTCCTGCCCTGAGTTCCTACCTTGGGCTCCTTGATGAACTGTGACCCAGAAGATGGGAGATATAAGCTGAATAAACCTTTTCCCCCCCAAGTTGGTACTGGTCAAAGTATTTTGTCACAGCAATGGACAAACAAGCTAGAACAACTAGTTAGTGCTTTCTCTTACTCTTCACCACTCAGGGAACTCTATCCAAAAAAGACTAAGGGAAACTGCTGACCTGAATAGTGAATGGGCATAAACACTTGGCAGCCTTGGCTCACCTCTAGTTTCTATACAAGGATAGGCTGGAGGAGGCTCCCTCCAGTTTCCACTGGAATCTTTCATGTGAGACCGGTCAGAAGCAAAGTTCTTCAAATAGGAATCAGCACCAACCACTCTAAATTTCCTGCAGATAAATCAATATACACTTATATTAGGAAGGTATCACAGCTAAAATTCTAATTATTTTATATGAACTCATTTTCTGATACACACAAAACTACTCACAAATTTTTAGTTACTAATGCACATTTACATACACAGCTTTATTATCTACGAAAGAAGCTAAAGGGAATGACTGAAACCCAAAGTTATGACAGAACAGACGCATGTCTATCCAGCTGCCTTTATTTACTCAATGTTGCACATCAGGGGCAAAGGCCAGGATTTGTTGCCTTGCCGCTTTCTCAATTTTGAAAACATTATCCATACCTCACCCAGAAATCCCCAACAGGCCTGAAAGAAAATGTTAGGGATCTCATCACACTAATTTTTCTATTACATTTATTTGTGTGTTAGTTCTCTTTCCATCATGTGGGTCCCAGGGATAGAACTCAGATCCTCAGGTTTGGCCAGCCCCTATCACACCAACCCTTTATATGATGGGGAACCTTAAGGCTTTAAGATACTCTTAATCTCTTGTATGGTAAGCACATCACTAATGCAGAAATAAGAGGAGCAGGAAGAGGGGGAGAGCAAGAAGGAGAGGTAAAAAAGAGAGGGGAGGGGAGGGGAGGGGAGGGAAAGGAGGAGAGAAGAGAGGAAAGCAGAGGGGAGGGGAGAAGAGAGGAAAAGGGGGAGGAGGGGAGGGGAGGGAGAGGGGAGAGGAGGGAAGAGGAGGGGAAGGGAGGGAGAGAAGAGCAAAGAGGAAAGCAAAGGGAGAGGGGAGGGACGGAGGGATGGAGGGACTGAGGACTTCTGTATAATCATCAAAAGCTTACTTCAGAAAATCACTACTCTTACTGAATTTCCTCACCTCCTAAACTGTGGATGAATTTCATCATCAGACTTAAGGGCATCTTCTACGTAAATGTTGAAAGGGCAGGGAAATGGCAAAATGGTATCAAGATCATAAATGAAGCTTTGTCCTTCACTTGACACATGAAGCAGAACCACATGATAATCCTAGGAATAAAAATCACTGATGTCAACCCAGTTAATCTAGAATGGTGAATTCCAAGGTCTCAGGATCAATATAGGACCCAGAATTGATACACAAATATTAGCACAAAAGCAGCTCTAAGGACAATACTGTCCTCCTTGTAACAGGAAAATAATAAAACACAAATTTTGTGTGCTGTTAGTTTTTGTCAATTTTACACAAACTAGAGTCATCTGGAAAAGGGGAACCCCAATTGAGGAATTTCCTCCATCAGATTAGCCTGTAGCATGTTTGTGGGGCATTTTCTTGACTGATAATTGATGTAGGCGGGCCTAGCACACTGTGGCTACGCCATCCCTGGGCAGGTGAGCTTGAGCTATATAAGAAAAGTAGCTGAAGCCAGGCATGATGGTGCACGCCTGTAGTCCCAGCACTTGGGAGGCAGAGGCAGGCGGATCTCTGTGAGTTCAAGGCCAACCTGGTCTACATAGTGAGTTCCAGGGGAGCTCAGGCTACAGGGAGACCCTGTCTCAAAAATACCAAAAAAAAAAAAAAAAGAAGAAAGAAAGAAAAAGAAAAAAAAGAAAAGTAGCTGAGGGGCTGGAGAGATGGTTCAGCAGTTTAGAGCACTGGCTGCTCTTGAAGAGGACCCAGGTTCAAGTCCAAATGTACAGCCAGACTACATGTAAAAAGCTTCTCCTAGCCAGGCGTGGTGGCGCACGGCTGTAGTCCCAGCACTACAGAGGCAGAGGCAGATGGATCTCTGTGAGATCGAGGCCAGCCTGGTATACATAGGGAGTTACAGGCCAGCCAGGACTACATAGTGAGACCCTGTCTCAAAAGACCAAAAATATATAAATAAATAAAAGCTTCTCCTAGTACTAAATGGGTAAGTCTAAGAAATCACAATTTTTTTCCTACACTGGACATTTTAAAACATTCCTACAGAGTGATGACACACACCTGGCATCCCAGCACTTGCAAAGCAGAGGCAAGAGGATCACCAAGTCTGAGGCTAGTCAGAGCTACACTGTAAGACCTTGTCTGTCTCTGTCTCTCTGTCTCTGTCTTTCTCTCTCTCTCTCTCTCTCTCACACACACACACACACACACACACACAAATTCCCATGAGCCAGGCATACTAGTGCATGTCTATAAACCCAGAAGTTGGGCGGTGGCATAGGAGGACTGGAAGGCCAGGCCAGCCAGAACTACATATTGAGACCCTGTCTCAAAAAAAAAATTCCTATGATAATTCTATATTACTTACTTTCTCCCACATACTTGATAGAAACAACTTAAGGAAGAAAACATTCATTATGGCTTGTGGGTTCAGAGGGTACAGTCTACCTAACCATATTGAGCGGTCATAGTGATGGCAGTGACTCTGTCCATAGTGACAGGAACATGAGGCACAGGAATTGTTCCTCACATGACAATAGGTAGAAGGCAAAGAATACAGGTAAAAACCAGAAGTAGGGATAACTTTGAAGGCTCATCACCAGTAACCACATCTACCAGGTAGGCCTCAGGTCCCAAAGGTTCCACGGCCTTGCATTCCCAGCTGGAAACCAGGGACACAGGAGCCTATGAGTGACATTTCATACTTAAATCATAAAAGATCCCAAAATAAAAGGTTAGAAAAATATATGCACAGGTTAGACCAAGTAACATCTATTCTCAAAAGACCCTTTTATTAATAATTGTCAGAATCCTCATGTGACCCTTCACTTGTGCTTTACGGGAGCATACAGGTCACTTGGGGGCTACAAGGAACGACACATCAGATGCTCTTAGGTGGCCATCTTACCCAGATCACAGGTCCATTCCCAGGGCTTGCCTGCTGTTTCCAGATAGGTACCTACAAAATGCAGAGCATCCATGATTTTTCACCCAAACCCTACTAAATTCTCTAAACTATTGCATAAGAAATAGAATGTTCCTTTTAAAAAATATTTTATTACCTTTATTTTATGTGTATGAATGCAATGTCTACATGTATGTAAGTGCACCCCTGCAGTGCAATGCCCACAGAGGTCAGAAGAGGGTGTCAAATCCCCTGGAACTAGAGTTGGACAGTTAACTGCCATGTGGATGCTAGGTATTGAACCCAGATCATAGCCAGTGTTCTGACCTATCTCTCCAGCCCTAAGAAATAGAATATTTCTAGGCAACCAACATCAAGTGAAAAGAATGAATAAAAAGAAATCCAAATCTTTCTAGGTGCCAAGTATTCTCCATAATAAAAGCTCACAAGAATTTAAAATACGGCACAGCACCCTTCAGAGAGTAGAAAGGGACCTGGTTAGGAATCAGAAGGCCAGGCAGGGCCAAGTCCTGCTTTCCCACTCAATTACTCATGAGACTTCTTTGCAGCTTTCCTTATTCACCTATAAAATGGAGAAAATTAGCAGGTTTTGGTGGTAAATGCCTGTGATTCTAGCCTTCGCTACATAATCAGTGTGAGGCTACATGGACTGGGTTACATGAGATCTGTCTCAAAAAAAATTAAAAATAGGAGCTGGAAAGATGGCTCAGTGGGCAAGAGTACTGGCTGCTCTCGCAAGAGGACCCAGGGTTCAGTTCCCAGCACCCACATAGTGGTTAACAACTGCCCATAACTTCAGTCCAGGGGATCTGACATTCTCTACTGGCCTCTGTGGGCACTGCATGCACATGGTGTACTCACTTACACACAGGCAAAACACTCATACAAAATAAAAATAAATTTTAAAAAATGTTTTAACACAAAGGGCTTACTTTTTCTAATACTTCATGTAATGTACTTCTGTTCTATATAAACTTCAGATACAAATTTTAACTTCAAATCTGAGTTATATGGCTCTAATGCATACAATCAAAAACCTCTAGGCCAGGTACAGTGGAGCATACCTATAATTCTAGTACTCAGAAGGCCAAGGCAAGAGGTCACTGCAAGTTTGATGCCACCCTGGTCTACACAGTAAGTTCCAGGTCTATACCATGAGACCCAAAAAGAAAAAAGCAAAGTTAAGGAACTTAATCTGAATAAGTATGCCATCACATGGTTCATCACCTATATGTAAGGGACAAACACTTCTAATTCAAAAAAAAAAAAAAAAAAAAAACTTTTTTAAATGTATTAAAAACTTTTTGAAATGTATTTTACAGAGCACATGTTAGAACAGTGTTACACCCATGCTACGGTCAGCTTCTGAGGTCATCCTAAACCTCATTTTCATTTTGTAATCACTTACCAACTTACCATCTTCCCCTCATTGGATATGAAGACAGCATAACACTCTTCCAAAGGATACTGGTCGTGCATTTTGATGTATTCACAGAGTTTCCAAATATTTTCTTCACTGAAATAAGTCAATCATTTAATCAAAATAATTAAAAGTGAACATGCTGTGCCTTTCAAATTTAAGCAAAAGACTGATGAGGACATAATTAGAAGAGATCTTAAGCACCTCATCAGAAGATGGCTAACAATTGAATCTCCTCTAAAGTATCATCAGCAAGCTGCCAGCCAACCTCTACTAGATATACACATCTCTTTAGACATAAAGCTCATTACCCACCACTGAAGACAGTGTGTAGCCAATAAAACACTATGTCAAGACTCCATAAGCTGAGATTCTGCTGGAATCCCGACCCAACCACTGACAGATATCAAGCTTTGAACTTCTTGAGCTCTAAGCATCTGCTTTTCCCCTCTGTGAAATGTTCATTACCACATCATACTGTAACCCTTGAGGAATCTTAGTCAACATTGGTCCTGTTTGCCTTAGGAATGTGGCAGAACGCATGTTTCAGGTAGCAGGGTACCTGGCCAGAAAGGATGAGAAACAGTTTTGTGAGGCTGGTGTGGTGGCAGACACCTTTAATCCCAGCACTTGTGAGGCAGGGGCAGTGGATCTCTGTGAGTTCAAGGCCAGCCTGGTCTACACAGCAAGTTCCAGATGGGATACAGGGAGACCCTGTCTCAAAAAGACAAAAAAAAAAAAAGTTCTTTCTCACCAGGCATGGTGGTGTGTATACCTTTAATCCTATTAATCCTAGTACTTGGGAGGCAGAAACAGGAGGATCTCTGTGAGTTCAAGGCCAGCCAGGGCTATGTGGTAAGATCTTATCTCAAAAAAAAAGAAAGAAAAAGAAAAAGAAAGAAAAATAGTTCTTTCTCATAGAAACTGTGTGGTGCTTTGAATGAAAATGTCCCCCAGTTGGTGGCATTGTTTAGGGAGGTCTTAGAAGGTGTGACCCTACTGGAAGAAGCATGTCACTGGGAGCAGGCTTAGAGAGTTTTTAAACCCTGCTGGATCTCCAGTGGCTCTGTTTCCTGTGCCTGCTTGAAGATGTGGAGCCTCTGCTTTCTGCTCCTACTCCATCCACCTCTGCCACCATGCCTCTCCGCCACGGTAGACCCTTGCCCCTTTGGAAGGTAAGCTAAATAAACTCTTACTTTTTAAAAAATATGTTATTCATTAGCCAGGCGTGGTGGCGCATGCCTTTAATCCCAGCACTCAGGAGGCAGAGGCGGGTGGATCTCTGTGAGTTCCAAGCCATCCCGGTCTCCATAGCAAATCCATGCCAGCTGGGTCTACAGGGAGACCATCTCAAAAAGACGAAAAAAAAAAAAATTTTTATTCATTATTTTTATTTTATGTGTATGCATGTATTGCTTGCATGTAGGTAAGTGCACCCGTGTCGTGCAATGCCTGCAGAAGACAAAGAGACTGTCGGATCCCCTGGAACTGGAGTTATACCAGTTGTTGGCTGTCTGTGGGTGCTGGGATTCAAACCCAGGTCTTCTACAAGAACAGTCAGTGTTCTTAACCGCTGAACCATCTCTCCAGCCCATAAATTCTTCCTTTTGTAAGTTCCCTTGGTCACAGTGTTTTATCACAGCAACAGAAAAGTAACTAATATAAACTGAAATTCATCTTATACCTCTCTCCCGAAAGAGAAAGAGGAAGGAAGGAAGGAAGGAAGGAAGGAAGGAAGGAAGGAAGGAAGGAAGGAAGGAAGGAAGGAAGGGAGGGAAGTTAGTTCTTTCGCATAGGAACTGAAATCCATCTTTGTATACCTCTGCCCCAGACAGATCTCTTCCTATCTAGCAGGCAATTAGTTATTTGACACAACGGTCAGAACCCATCTAAACAATGCCCAGTGCATCAAACTGAGCAATACCGGAGCCACAACGCTCTAAGCACAGACAAAATGGGCACTGCAGGCTGTATTGCCAGCTCGGCCTCTGGGTTCCTGAGTAATTGTTTAATGAATTACACACACCTTTGCTCAAAATGAATCTCATCAACACCATACTCACAACACGTCACTCAGTCTGTCAAGCCAAATTTCCAGTCCTCCACACCTCTCACTAACTGAAAATGAAGCAAAACAGAAATAGCACATGGGATTTTTTCCATTTTATGGAAATACACACTTTTAAAATTTACATTTTATGGGGCCGGGCATGGTGGTGCACGCCTTTAATCCCAGCACTTGGAAGGCAAAGGCAGGTGGATCTCTGTGAGTTCAAAGCCAGCCTGGTCTACATAGTGAGTTCCAGGACAGCTAGAGCTACAGGGAGACCCCTGTCTCAAAAAGACCAAAAAAATAAAATAAAATAAAATAAAATAAAAATTCACATTTTAATTGTGTGTGTGCATGTACATGTGCATGTCACAGAACTTATGTAGGGGTTAGAAGGCAACCTGCAGGAGTCAGTTCTTTCCTTCTACCTTGTGGGTCCCAGGGATTGAACTCAGGTCCTCAGGCTTGGCAGCAGACAACTTTACCCACTGAGTCATTTCACCAGTCCTGGAAATACACACTCTTTCAACTCACAAGTCTTGGCCTTTTCTACCTGTCTTAATATTCAACACAACTAAAACCACGGAAGTCAGACATCTATATTCTTCTACGGTTTTTCTGTCGTTGTTTGTTTTTTGAGACAAGTTGCCCAGCTGGCCTGAAACTCCCTATGTAGACCAGACTGGCCTCAATCTCACAGAAATCCACTTGCCTCTGCCTCCCAAGTGCTGAGATTAAAGGTGTATACTACCACATCTGGCTAGGCTCTAGACAACCAGCCACCTCCCCAGCTTTCTCCCAAGTCAAGCCCTGCCCCATTGGTCCTGCCTAGAAGCCACATGGAGGAATAGAGACACATGTAGGGCATTTGCTCATAGGGAGGACACACTGCTGTGCCCCTCGTCACAATGGCCCCAGATTCGTCTCAGGTGTGTTGTAAACAGAGGAGTCATTCTTCAGTCCCCCTGCTCTGAGCACACCCCATAAAATTTTTATCCAAGTTCTGGAAGACATTTGTTGGTCTGGTCCACAGAAATTTTGAACTTCACCATAAACAACTTCATAGAGCCTATGAGATACAAATCACAGCTGAGTGCTTAAAGGATAGAATAATAAATTCAGGCTTCAAGGTTACAGATGGGAAGTCATACAGATCCAAAATGGCAACTAACCCAGAAGGCCATAAAAGATGCATAGAGAAAGCATGGAGGGGGGAGTCATTAATGTTGAGGGATAAGGGAAAATGGCAGCGAAATAGGTCAGCAGTTTCTCCTTTCCATGCCCTACTCCAATCCAACAGGTGGGTTCAGAGTTAATGCACAGTTCATAAGCCTACAAGCACCATTAGTAGGCTGTCACATAATATGGCTTGAATACACAATGCCCATCCTTTTTCAACCACATGAGAATATTACACAGAGATGAAAACCCCATTTAAAACCAAGAGTTCCTGAATTATCATCCCTTTTTAATCATCAAACTTTTAAAAGTATATATATAATTTTATATTATGGACTCTCAATTCTGTTCTAATCTGTATTCTCATGATGGCTGAGAACATTGCTTTATAGATAGATAGATGATAGATAGATAGATAGATGATAGATAGATAGATAGATAGATATAGATATATGCATATAGGGGTGTGTGTGTGTGTGTGTGTGTGTGTGTATACATGTGAGTGCAGATGACCAAGAAGACCAGAGGTGTGGGATCCCCTGGAGCTGGAGTTACAGACGGTTATGAACTGCCTGAGATGGGTCCTGGGAATCTAACTCAGGGCTTCTAGAAGAGCAGTACATGCTCTTAACTACTGAGCCATCTCTACAACCCATATCATCGATTAGTTTTCAACAGCATAACTAATACTATGTTGAAGAATCTCATGAAACTTTTGCTTTTGTTTTTTGAAACATGGTCTCACTCTGTAGCCCAGGCTGGCCTAGAACTTGCTCTGTAGTCCAGGCCACCCTCAAACTTGAAGTGATCCTTCTGCCTCAGCCTCCTGTGTGCTGGGATTATAGACATAAGCCACCACCCAGGCTCATGAAACTTTTCAGGTTTTAAAAAGGGACATCAGGGCTGGGGCTGGAGAGATGGCTCCGCAGTTAAGAACACTTGCTCCTCTTCCAGAGGACCTGGGTTCGATTCTCAGCACTCGAGAACACTAACACTCCTTTGGCTAATACTCCTTTGTACCAACTTCCTTGCTGCTCCTAGAATCTCACCCCTAGAATTTCACCCCACACTTGCTTCTCAGAGCCTCTGCACCTGCTATTCTCCCTGCCCAAAATGATCTTCTTCTAATAGCCACAAAGCTCTTGTCTTCTTTCTTCAGATCTCTGTTTAGTATCACCTTATCAACAATGTCTTCCTTAAATATCTTAATATAAAACAGTATGAGTTGCTGGGCATGATGGCACGTGCCTTTAGTCCCAGAGGCAGGTGGATTTCTGTGAGTTCTGAGAACAGCTTAGACTACACAGTGAGACCCTGTCTTAAAAAAATAAAATACAATGGTCGAGTCATCATCTCTTCTCTTGTCCCATCACCTTTATACCAGTCAAACTCAGTTTACTTGTTTTGTCTGCCTTTCCCCCAACAAATGTAAGAATCATGAGATCTTGCCAGGGAATGCATCCATTTTGTTCACTGCTATATCCTCAGTGCCTAGAATCACCCATTATATATCTCAAGTCCCTAAGAAGCATTCACTAATCAATCAAAGAAACAAAGACTAAACTGGGTATGGTGGTACATGCCTTTAATCCCAGCACTCGGGGCAGAAGCTGGTGGATCTCTGTGAGTTCAAGATCAGCCTGGTCTACATAGTGAGTTCCAGCTGAGGGCTACTGGGTTTCAAAAAAAAAAGAAAGAAAGAAAAAGAAACAATCAATATTAGGGATAAGGACTAGTAGGACTTGGGAGTCAGGCTGGGCAGAAATACAACACAGCAGGAAGCAAGGAATCCAGCCGTCGCCAGGAGATTCCAGGTTTGTACCACCACTTAGTAGGGGTGTGATCTGGGACAAACCACAGCCTTTCCATGGCCCAATCTTTGTACTGGCAAAATGACAATAATGATCAATCACAGTAGCACAGACACAAAGCACTTGACATTGGACCTGATGTGTCTTAATGGCACTGGTTCAGACCAGTTGAAGAGGAAAGGGGTAGTGTTAGGTGGCCCTGGGGTTTCTCTTGAGTTGGGGAAGAAGTCTTTACTCGGGAATGGGAAGGTGTGAGCGTTTCAAGACCAAGTGAGACGGTGTTTGAGCTGCAGAGGCAGTCTAGGACAAGGGACAGTGACCAGCCGCCAGGGCCAGACTCTGCCTGTAAATCTCCATCACTTCACTCACAGGCTGTGAGGCCTTGAGTAAACTACATGTACCCTCCTGCTGCCTCAGTGTTCTCATCTTTAAAACCAGGATTACAGGGGCTGGAGAGATGGCTCATCAGTTAAGAGCACTGACTGCTCTTACAGAGGACCCAGGTTCAAGTCCCAGAAACCACATGGTGGCTAACAACCATCTGTAACTCCAGATTCAGGGGATGCGATGCCCTCTTCTGACTTCCAAGGGCACTGTACAACACAGGTACACTTACATACATGTAAGCAATACACTCATACACATAAAATAACAGTAACTGTCTTGGGGTTACTGTGGGGTTCAAGTGAGTTAATTTACATTAAACACCCAGAACAAGGCTCGGCATATGGCAAGGACCATGCAAATGCAACGAATGTTATCATGCCAATATAATGGTAAAGATCATTATCTCTGAAGCTGGAACTGGATTCCTAGCAATTACGTTAGTGACTTTGGGGAAATTACCTCGAACTCTGTCTCCATTCTCTTTAAAATTAAAATGACCTGGACTTCAATCTGAAGCCACCCAGGTTTCAGCAGTTACTGCCAGTCTTCCCCACAACTCTACTAGCACTAAAACCTGCCCAACGTGTCCAACCCAGAAGCCCCAGGCAGAGGCTGAGCACCATGGACCCCACCACTCCTGACGCCTCCCCAACCCCTTCCACTGCCCACAACCAAGCAAAGGGCACCAGGGCTGCGATCCCACTGCCTCCTCCGCAACGAAGAAACCCGGCAATGCAAGCCTGCAGCGCGCAGGAGCGGACAGGGAGAAGGCGGCGTTAGGCTGCCGCGCGCGCCCAACGTGGACATCCCGGGGCCTCCGCCCGCGCCCTCTCACCAATAGCAGCTGCTGTAGACACAGGCGTCCCGCGTGGGGCAGGCCGGCTGGTACCGCACGTCCGAGGCAGCAGGACTATGCCCCTCCATGGCCCGGGCCTAGTCCTCAGCCGGAGCAAAGAGCCAGAATGTAGCAGTAGCAGCGGGTTCCCGGGCGGAGTAGGCGGAGCCTGGAGCGGCCAGGGCAGCTTCCGGGTGGAAGAGCCAGGAACCTGGTGGGCGGGGCCTGGGCGGAG